TTACGAGATATAGAATGACCACTTCTCCAAATATAATAGAAATGTAGAATGGCATGAAAACTAGCAAAAAAGGATCCGTTTAACCAACGTCTTCGCTGACTAATCAGTCCAGCAATATCTTCAGGCACATCTGTTTCGGCTTGGGATGACTTAACATAATGCAATAACCAAGAGCTGTCACGTTTTGCAACCAATTCAAAACAAAGAATACGATCTTCAGCAAGATACATATTAGCAGTGAACATGTTTTCCTTTTTTTTATCCTCATTTTTTTTATCATTGATTTCACCCTTAAAATAAGATGCTAGAGGGCCTTCTTCCTCGTTTTTGTCATTAGTAGTACTCCGGAGAGCAATGTACCGATAGGCAGAAAAAGCCCCAGGTAAAACAGTAATATACCCAAATACAGATTCAAATGGTTTATCCAGGATGTTGGACATCTTATATTCAAAATTTTGGGCTGCCACAATTGGATTCAATAGTTTCTTCCAACCTTTACCTTTCATGGTAACTATTTCACCGCAAGCACCTGCAACACTTGCATTTACATCAAACGCCTTCCACAAACGATAGATGGATCTAGGACCTTAGAGGGGAAATATTAAATATTGTAAAATAGATTATTGATCTATAAAAGCATTAAAAGAATAGTTTCTCGAAACATTTATAAGGCAATTACAGCATATTAATTTCTAACCTGGTTCAGTACCAACATCAATAAGAACACATATGTTAGGGTTAAGAATTGGCCCAAAAGCATTAAAGAACCATCGATGAGAGTTGATCTTTTTAGCATTTTCCTCTTTAAGACAAAAAAGCACTTGGACTGGAACAACATCAGGGTCCTCATCGAAAGTTTTAAATTTCATAGTATCGTCAATTGAAATCTGAGTAGTATACTCAAATATATGAGCATTAACGGATTCATCTTTTACTTTGCCTACTACAACGCCATCTTGGTAGACACCAAGAGCCATTAAGTAAGCTAAAGAACTTTGCTCTATATGTTCACGACCATCAGCAACTATGCATACGACGACTTTCTTCCATCCCTCTTCACCCTTAAAAAAATTTTTTTTGAATATAATATATAAAATTCACAAGATTTAAAAGTAACTGTAATGATAAAGACTCGTTTATATACCCAAACTCTAGACTTTTTACGACTGCAAAGGTGAGCAATATTTTTTACAACTCCGTGAAAAGTGCGGGCTAACAGGCCTTTATCTTCCTAATACCACAATATATGTATACATTTTGCACTATCGTTATTAAAAAATAATAATAATAATAATAATGATTAAAATTTCCTACATTATACATAGTTAACACGATAAATAGTTCGGTATGTCTTGGAGGAGCAGCTTCTACTTGACGAAGACTAAATCC